GACTATGAAAAGCAGAAATAATCTAACCTGGTAAACCCTTTTTGGCCATAAGTATCACTTTTACTACATCCATATACCTTTTGTCAAGTAAGAATTGTTGTGCAGTTGTTAAGCTTTTGTTTCAAATGATTGATCAAAACTATCTTTCATAGTTGTGCATTCTATACAACTTTTTGTTTCTCTTTTACCTTTGGTAGACATTACGGATATACATGTGTGCTCACAACATTTAGAATGATTCAATTTGTTGTCTATGAACTATTCTGTATTCCATAGAGAAATTTAGGGGCTTTTTTATTTCTGGAGAACTTTATTTGGAGTACGATGACGAAAAAACTTATCCAGCCTCTTGAATTGCATTTAATACATGGCTTCTTGTTATAATATTCTCATCTACATCAACATTTTACAAATTTTCTATGCCATTTTTCTTGGAACTGTATTTCATGGTTAAGTTACATCCTGGCATCATCCACCATACTTGCATTTTTATTTTTCAGAAAGAAATGTGGTAAAACATTTCAGATGTTGGATTGACATAGGATGTATAATAGATGGATCTACTAATTTGCTTCTCGCTTTAGAAATTTTTTTGTCAATGATATCTGCATCTAGATTGGTTCTGAACAAATGAAACATCAGGTTTTGTGTCTCATAGGAACCCTAACTTCATGATTTCTGTAACTCAAGCATATGACATTTGCTTGTACTTGAAATCATATTAAGCTTGAAGATTGAAGAAATATCCAGTTTTCCCAAATCACCCCATCAGAATTTTTATTATAAATATACTGTGCATCCCATTTTTTCTTGGTACATGTTACTCATCTTGTTTCAGAGGTTGAGAAACTGTGGAATCTAAGGACTTGAATTGATGGTTTTGTGTCATATCTGTAAATATATTGTGATAATCTTCAATGTCATCAGATTCTACAAGATATTAGATGCATCGGTTTTGTAGGTTTGGTGAAGGATGTTTGATGCATGGTTTTGGACTGTGTGAGACAAAGGACTCTGAAACTTGTTGCAATGTTGGATGACTATTTTCGCAATGTTATATAGCTAGGAATCATTCTAGGTTTTCCGCAATTAAGCCATCTCATTTTTAAGTGTCATAACGTATCAAAGATAGTTGCCATCTAAATCGTGGTTTTAAATCCCGTTTTGAGCTGCTTCTGCTTAGGTCGCTATTCTGTGTGACTTCTAATGTTCTTGAACCATACCCCCTAATATAGATTATCTCAGCTTTGATTTGAAGCCTTAATTAGAATGTTGCTAAAAATTCATCTTTTCATGGTTTGGAAAGCTCAAATAGATAAATTCATCTATTTATCTATTTGTTTATATGAGATAGCTTGGGTGGTTATTTCCAAGTGGAAATGGGTCTTCCTGCTCTCTCCTTGACAGATTTCGAATCTTTGTTTTTTTTCTACCGGGAAGCAGTTCTTTGCTTAGTTAATCATAGATCATGAAGGTAAATTAGAGAGCCCTTTAAGTGAGGAACCATTTAGAGTCTGACACATTGTTTATAGAGACAAAATGATTTTGCTTTATTTAGTGCTCTTTCTAATTGGACAAATGTGTTGGATTCTCATGTAGTGGTGCCATTTGGTCATGCATAGGTCTCATGTTGCTAGGTGGTTGTGAGTGTGACCTGCAGGTGAGACGTTTAAAGATTAGTTGGAGTGATGAATCTGGTTCAGCAATTAAAGTTGGAATGATTTGGACCTATTTCTATATTTTTGGCCTCAGTGATTTTCTTTCTTTTTATTTCTGTTTCCATTTTTCTACATGATGTTCGAAACTGAACTTCAAGCTTCAACTTCTTTATACTATTATGGCTCCATATTTGTAAATTGGAGAGGATTTTTCCTATTTTCTTACTACCTCATTGTATGCTGAAAGCTTTTGTATAGTCTAAAATATAGAGTTGGCACCGATAACTTGGTTTTATAGTAAAGTTTAAGTAATAAAATTTGCTTTGGATTATTGAACTTTTTATATCAATGGACCATGTGCAAATGTTAACTACTTTTCATATCCATGTCTTAACACTAGCATAGACTACAATGGGACGTTATGTGCCAATTTCTTGGGATCACTTGCATATGTTTTCCTTCCACCATTGAGCTTTGTGTAGGTTTAAATCTCTAGTTAAATTAAGAGCATTCAAATCTCGTTATTATTTCTAATTTTAATCAATCCACCTTATTTAATCATGATTTCCATAGGTCTCCTTTGGACATATCCATATTATTTTTCTCTTTTTATTCTCTATCTGGTTTATACTCGTTTGTTTGCAGATGATAACATTTGTACATGCGGACTTTGACATTCTCATCTTAGCTGCACTGGTGCATGTTTTCTAATGGCTGAGTACTTTTATTTCCAAAGCATTGCTGACCTAACAACTACCTCATAAATTAAGGATGATCATAGAAAATTCCTAATGCCTCTCTTTGCTTTAACCACCTAACTTTTACTTTCTGAGAACGTGTTCAAGCAATCAGTTCTTCATATAGTATTTTTTTTTATATATTACGTTGAAGGTGCTCCACCGAAGGAAGCCACACAGGGTCTTTGGGCTAGGTTTGCACTTGGGTAAAGAAAACCTTTGGATGACAGAGCATCTTTGTCACCTCTAATTTTATTTCAATTGGGGTGTGTATTTATAAGCAAAGAATATTTGAACAGTATTGAAATAAAGGTGGTATTTGATTAGGGAAGTCTGTCTTAGATCACATGCATTGCAGTTATTGATATGATGAAATGAAAGAAACCTTTGAAGCTTTCTGAAGGCATAGGGTTGGCTAATACCCTAATTATTTGAAGTGATAGGAAAATAAATGTTGTGACTGTAAAAAAGAACTAATATGAAGTCATTAGTCTATGAAAATAAATTCCAATACTATATATATTATACTATTTTATCATGTTTTATCATAATTGTATCTTATAGTAATCAACAACCGTTATGTGCAGATGGTCCAAGTTTGAGGGGGAATTGTCTCGGCTCTTGAACTGGTTTTCCAGATACAACTCTACCGGATATGCTGTTTTCTCGGTTTTACAGTTATTTTGCAGGATATATGGTTATGCTTGTCATGTTTTGCATAATTTCACAATGATGGTGACCCTTGGAAATCTTGCTCGGTTCACTACAAACCTTGGAAGCTGTTTAGCCACGGCGTTGTCATTGCATTAAACAATCGTTGATTTATTTGCTAACGGAAGAGCAAGTGGGGTGTTTGGAGAGCTGAAATTTCAGAGCGAAATAAAAATTGCTGCTTGGATTTTGACGAATGTGCAGATGCTCGACTGTAAGCAAGATGAACACATATCCTCGAGTCAGTCACCATTTGTTCACGAGATTGTACTGTGGAAAAAATGACATCATATATATATTGTGTATTTGCTTGTCTAATGTTCTCTGTACAGGTTCCTTTATGCAAGTCTTAGTTGTCGAACTTCCGATTTGACCAAATTATAATAAGCAGTCCTGCATCACCATTCAAAGTCAAGCTACTTGAGAAAATGGCCAGTATGTGAGATCATGATTCAAAGAAAACATGATGCCTTAGAGCTTGTTATAATTCAAAGGTTCCTGTAAATGATTCATGTCATGTTGATTCCTGATGGAAATGGAATTTGTGCCAAAAGAAAATGTTTGGAGAAATGTCAAGATACCTTTGTTCCTCCTGCCCAGTCATTATGATGTGTGATGGATTCAAATGTCTACCAATCAACTATGGAACTACATATGTAGTGTTCCTTCCATCAGTATATTGTCTGTTAATCCCATTACTCTCTAGATTTGAAGTCGAGACAGAGGCAAGTTGCAATGGTCCAAACCATAACAAGAATGTTTCCTTGGCTCTTCTTCAATTAGTATTCAGAATTGTAGAATCAATTTTCTGGCAAATCTGCAGGTTCTCTAGTGTTTTCTTTTCTAAATTAGAAATAATAACATATAGTCTGGGATTTGGCATGGAACTGTTGTTGCCACCATATTCAGGTTCTTTCTTGCCTCTCTTGTCCCTTTCCACATCTCACTGTCACATAATTGGAAACATAAACTGAATTATAAGAATGGGGAGACAGAATGAGTCAGAGATAATACAGGAATGAGTCAACACTTCATTCTAATGAAAAAATGGGGAGACACAAATGAAAGATACTGTTTTGGATGGGTTGGTCAGTCAATATTTGGCAGGATACATACATACATACATATATGATATAAAGGAAATTGTATGTCAGAAGATGCTGTTTCCAAACTATGAATGGATAGAAATATGCAGACACTCCATTTCTGATTGAATGATATTTTTCATTAATATTTTATCCTTCTTTCTTAATTAATGGGGTCCCACTCTTGGTAAAAAAGCATTGATTGCATTTAAAGCTTTTGCCTGCAGAATTTTTAGATTCTTAGTTCCATTTCTGCCTTAATTTGACTACCACACCAATTTTTCATGGTTCAGTTGGCATCCACATTCATGAGATGGGACACCATAAACATGAACAGCACATGTTGGCAATGGCAAGGAATGGATCAGAAATGCCACAAGGCATATGGTGCCTCGAAATCTTTCACTTGTGTTGACCAATACTATAGTCTCCACAGCCACCACCACCACCACCACCACCACCACCACCACCACCACCAGGCCAACTGCTTCATCATCTTACTTGGGCATCAGTCGTGCACGTTACGGCTTCCATTTCCATGCCAGCTTGAAAAAAGAAGTTTGAAGTCGCAAGAAGAATCATTCAGTGCTACCACTTTTTCTCAGGGAATCTCTATGCACGGGGACCCAAAAGTTTCAATGCTCATTTAGTTCCAATGGTAGGTCAGAATCCCCACACTGCTTTTAAGGCTGTTTTGGACTAGTGTCCTTGAGTACTCACTTTTGTTCAGTTGCTGCTTTCTCCTTCTTTTATGTCTTTTTGACAGGTGTGTAATGCATGCATTGGCTGGTCCCATCCAGCTCAACATGTTGTAGTTTGGATTTTGGAAGAGGGCAGCCAGCAGGGCAAAAGGCAGAATAGAAACTGCTCTTTTGGAGTGGAGTGAGACATTCCATTCTCTCCTGCTATTTTGGGTTTCCTTGGTTGGGAGGTGGTGGGTGGATTTATCTTGTTGAGGGATTTGTTGAGTGCTACATTGTCCTAAAGTTTTGGTTTTTTTTTTGGTTGGTTCTTCTGCTTATGAGGTTGTTTAACTGGTGGTACTAGTGGTACTCTTTCTGTTCTTTTTCTTTGGTGGGTTACGTCTGGTTTTGTGAGGTATGTGGCCTAGAATTGCTGCTGGCTTGAGGTTGTTTGTATGCTTTTCTATCATTTGCGGGTTTGGTGTCGGTGCTTTAATATGTTGGAATGTCCTAAAATGTTTGAATGTTGAGTGAGTTTCATCTCAGTAAAACCTGTTCTTTGTGCTTGGAGCTCTTCTGAAGATTAGTTTCTTGAGTGATCACTGTATGTGCAACCTTGTGTGGCTTCTCAGGTTTTTATTGCTTGAGCATGGTCATACTCCAAATTATTCTGGCCTTTGGGGATTTGGGTGTGTTATGGACTTGTGGGGATTTTGGTTGTGAAATAGAGTCTCAGCTGTTTTCTCAGTTGTGTGCTTCTGTGGGCAACAAATTGATGGAGAAGTGCTTATGACTAAATATTTTTAGCCTGGTAGTTGATTTCTTAGGATCACGGTGTGCACTGTGTAACTTTCCAGGAACTGTTGAGGTTCTTTGTTCTGACCATTCCATTTAAGCTTTCTTTGAAATGGCCTGTAAGAAGTTGGGATCAAAAGCCGATGTCTTTCATCGACGAGGACAAGCCTGGTATGCTTCACTCTGTTCTCGTACACCTGGCTTTCTTCGAGGTTCTGAATGTTCTTGTGCCTAATATCAGTCTGAGATGACATATGATTTGTGTTCTATTTGCGCCTTGGCTTTCTTTTACTAATTGATTGGATGAATACTGGTAATGTAATTGATTCGATCATCATGTATCTGAAACTGGTATACATATACAACCTCCTAAATCTTCAAGTTCTTAGTTACTACTGAAAGTTACAGCATCCAGAACATGGCTGTTCATTTTACTACATTTGAGATGATACTAAAATGCCTTATTAAGAAATAGGTGAAAATTGCAATAGACTATTGAGGTTTCCTTCTCAACTAATTCTATTCTTATTTGTGGAGACTGACTTGATTAATTTCTGCAAGTTTGTTCGACTTGTTGCCTCATCATGGAATACAATGAATTTTATAGCATACATGTCAACCTCAATGTCATAATGCTCCTCAAATGTCAAAACCAAAACATTTAGTCTCTACAAATGGATAAATGGAATGGCATTTTAAAGGCTTTGGCAATAATGGCTGGTGGCTCGGTATCTGTGGTTCCTTGCATGAAAGTTGAAAGGAGGTAAACAGAAGAACCAAGGAGTTTAATTATTAATAATTAGATTATAATTCAACTGTCTGGTTGTTTGTCTTAGGAGTACTTCAAATCAAACCTAAAATCAGTCATCTCATTAGTTCAGTTACCTTTGTTCCCCTTTTGCCTCTGCCATGCAGTGTCAAAGATAGCCAACACAGTGTATCATATTTTCTTGGTTTTTTTCAAGTAACAAAGATTGAGGGAAATCAACATCCACAGAAAATTAGCTTTATAATTGCAGGAGCAATTTATTGAGGGACTGAATAATGAGTTTAGAAATTAAAGTGTGTCTATAGGGTTTCATTAGAAGAATATATTTGAATTATTAAAAGTGCAGTTTACTGTAAGAGGCTCCCACAAATGTAGTGTTTGGATATGATTGTGATCTTCTATATTTGAGAGGTGCGAACATAGCGAGAGATCCCTAGCACCACAATGAACTTATAGTCTCGATAAAAAGAAGAAAAACATATAAAGATACAATGCATAATGATCATGAAAGCATTGGAAAAGCAAAGCATCATGTTCTCAACTAGGCCTAACTTGGAAGAGAGACAGACAGATACTATAATCAAATATTGAGGAAGGTAAAAGTACCAAGTCCTTGCTTCCTATCAATAACTATTCTTTGTTAAATAAAATAAACAAAAAGAAGATCAATTTTCTGAGAAAAAACATATGTTTTGGGTTTTTCCATAATTCCGAAAGAGAGTACCTTGACGTTCCTACCGAACCAATTGGGCTGGAATAGATTTTTGGCCAAACTGGTGTAGCGCTAGACCAGATTGGTTACAATGCTTTTATATAGAGGTAAACCAAAACACTATAGTTCACTTAAAGACACTGTAAGGTGGTAACGTTTCACTCTTTTTATCAACATTCTTTCACAGTAAATGATCACAGATATTATAAGATTTTTCAGAATACATAGACCTAAATTTAAGACCAAGTGGGAAAAATTTTGAAAATTTTTCATAATTTTCATCTAAAACCACTCAAATTCTTATATAAATTATTTATAATACCTCAAAACGTTTAATAAAGTTGATGATTATGGGTAGTGGGATTTAAATTAATTGTAACTTGGTTATAGTATTTTACAGCAGAGTTACACTATTTTGGTTCAATGAACCATTGTAAGTTCATTCAAAAATATTATAACTAAGTCATGTCTCATCTTTTTTATTTTCTACTTCATAATAAATAATTAAAAATATTATAAGGTTTTTCAAATTACATAGATATAAATTTAAGGCTACGCGAAAACAAAATAGAATTTGTGATCCTTTAGTTTGAAATATAGCAGAACATTGTTAGGTTGCATCCAAAACAAAATAAATTCTGAAATAAATCATTTTATAAACTTAAAATCCTATAATAAACATGATAATTATGGTTGGTGGTTATTTTAAATAACTGAAGCTCAATTAAAATGTACTAAAATAGTACTGCAATGATTTTGGTTCAATAACCAAAAATACAATAAGTTCATTTAAAAAAAATATAAGTGGGTAATGTCTAACTTCTTTTTATCGTTATTTTTCACAACAAATGAATACAAATATTTTAACATTTTTCAAGTTTTGTAGAGATAAATTTAAGGCTAAGCGGAAAAAAAATCCAGGATTTGTCATTCTTTGTTTTGAAATATACTTAAACCTTCTTATTTTTCATACAAAGTCATTCAAAAATGCTCATATAAATCAATTTATGAAATATCAATTACAGTGTTTTTGATGATAAAGGTTTATGGGAATTTGAACTAATTAAAATTGAATAGAGCTATAGTGTTTTGATTCAGTGATTAAAAATACTATAAGTACATTCAAAATAATTATAACTAAGAAAACCATACCTTTTTTTTTTATTATTCTTCCCAATAAATGACAACAAATATTGTGAAAATTTTCAAAATACACTGACCTAAAAAAAGTCAAAATATGTCATCCTTTATTTTGAAATATGTCAAAACATCATTAATTTTCATCCAAAATCATTTAAAATCTCTCAAACAAACCACTTTATGAAATCTAAAAATGTATAACAAGGCTGATAATTAAGACTGTTGAGTATTCGAGCTAATTCAGTCGGATTATTGTGTTTTTAGTTACTGAACTAAAAATAAAATACTGTAACTGGTTTGGTTTAGTACTGAACCAATTTGGT